AAACTATAGACACTCAGGCTAAGCTATATTCTTCAACTGGGTCTTTATCGATAATAAAAGTGGTAATGATTTGAGCTTTCTGTTTGTCAGTCCTTAGTGTTATTTCTCAATTTGCTCAGAACCTGGGTAAGAAGAGGTGTGTTCTTTATTGGGGATCTCTTGAAGACTCTAGCATTTGGTGCACTGAGTGGAACAAAGAACAAAAAATAAGAAACTTGAAATTAGGGGAGCAAAATAGACTCTAGGAAGGTTTTTGGTGAGGCAGGCCATTGTGACCTTGGCAGTTTGCAGAGGCTTATATGAGGCCAGGGAGAGTTTTACAGTTGTGTTGTTTGCTTTTAACTGCTGTGGCCTGGGCCAGAGGCTTTAAACCAGTCACATGGTGTTCTGACCTTGGTGATTGACTATAAGTAAGCGGCTACAGTAAAAGTACTTGGCTCTGGCCAAGGTGTGCAGAGGGTCCATTTGAGAGCTGTGTGAATGGATGTGAATGGACTGGGAAAGGTTAGACAGATCCTTGCTGGGGGCCAATGGGCTGTGGAGGACTTAGTGACTAGGCACAGCAGAGGTGAGGTTTCAGTTAGAGTAAGCAGATCGGATCTTTCTGTGCAGGAGAAGAAGCCAAAGCATGGGTCACAGGGCCTTAGTAAGGGAAGATTTCAGAATGGAGCTATAGCTAGGGCTGAAGCAAAAATGTTATAGGACAAGAGAGCTTTGAAGTTTTTAAGCTATGGGTAAACAGAACCATATTTGCTGTTTTGAAACTGAAAGGCATCTATGTAGCTTCTGTAGGGACCTCCAAGCACCAGCATGTTTCAAGATTTAAATTGGTAGTGCCAGGCCCTGGGAGGGCATTGATGGGTGGCCCCAAATTCTATTCTGTATTCAGGGCTAAGGAGAAAAATAGAGGGACTATGCTTACATTTAGGTGGCTTTCCCATCTCAAGAGGCACCTCCCATAGGTGGCCTTAAGTTGGCCCTGGATTGGTGAATTACTTAGAACAGAGGAATCTTCCTCAGGAGGCCCATTTCTGAAGTAAGGAAAGTTTTAGTGGGAGCAGGGACTGAAAATGCCTCCTCATGTCGGCACTGCATCACTAGAAAGAGCCCATATTCAAGTTGGAACTATGGACGATGGAAATTAAGAGGTTTTAATAAACTCCATAGAAAAGACAAACAAGATAAGACCTGGTGAGTAGGGCTGCCATGATTGTAGATTTCTAAATTTTGTAACATAAAGCCTCCCTTTGAGGGGCGAAAGGATGCATAAACTCCTGTCTCCAATACTGTAAATGGAATAATGCCAAAATTCATCTCTAAAAGAAATGATTTTTGGATTGAAGTTCACAGGCTAAGGATTCTGAGAAATTGGCATTGAATGACTGACAACCAGGTGAAGCTGAGCCAAGATTTTATCCATCTTTCCTCTTTCCTTTGGATCCCATTGAGTTTCTGCCATGGTCTTTGGTAATAGTACTGCATTCTGGAAAGGCAATTTTGAAGTTGTTTTGGGGAATAGGTATTGCTGTGACTTCTAAAAATGGTGGGTAGAAGGCCAACACTACAATATCTTTTTTGTTCTGACAACTCTGTGGACTTTTAAAAGAAGAGATTCTGAGAGTTGAATTAATTCAGTGTCTCCAGAAACCCACAGACATTACTTTAACAGTCCAAACTAAAGCAGCTCAAATAATCTTTATCTATCCAGACTTTGAAAAACCTTAGCTCAAGTGAGCAGAATACAAGATTGGAGAGTGTCATTCGAAGAGGCTAATTTAGCCTTAAGAATTTTTCACTCCTAATAGCAAGATACTTGTAAGAAGATTTAATTTTTTAACTTTGATTTCTCCCTGGAGATTTTGTAATGGGGGGTGGTTAATTCAGATTTGGGGATCTCTATGATGTTTGCATTTGTTATAAATTTTACCTTAATATTGTCATTTGAACTAATTGCAGATTTTCTGATATGCAATGAGGATAATATAGCTGGACAAAATTAGAGATAGGTAAATCAATATAAATTGAATTTTCAACCATATATATATAAAGTAGTCTTGGAGTTGATTTAATTAATGATATGGTCCGGAGCCTACTTTGAAAAAAATCTGAGCTGGTCACCAGTGGCTGTGAGATAAAACCCTAAAGGGCTGGGGCTGTCATTGAGAGAACAGCTTCATGGAAGTGACAAAACACAGTCACCTCCTTTTGGAGGATAAACACAACCCTGGTTTGCTATAGATTTAACAGTTAAACCAGAATGGTATAAGAGGACAAAACTAGGAAATTGCAGAGCGGAACATTTCCCATTTCTCTGATTTCCATGTGAAGATATTTTTAAACCCACCCTTGGCCTCTCTCTGCACTTTATACCTCTGGACTTAGAGTTACTTATTTGATTAGTTAATTCGAGAAGGATAACCTGGACATGCTCAGTTGAGTCTTGCTCTTCTTGGGAATCAACTGCCCAATGGCAATCATTTACCTCTCTGCCTCCTGGAACAGGCTTTCCAGGGACGGGTTTTGACTTAGTGATTTGTTCAGACTTCTTCCTGGGAATAGAGGAGCTATTTATTAGAGAATATCCTTGGTTATCTGTGGAGCAGGTGGGACTATTGTGGATCTGTTTATAAGATGAATTATCAGATTATATTTTTAATGTAAATAGTTTCTCAATTCCAGTTGTTAACATTTTCCAGTGGATTGATTTGTTTAGAATTATAAAAAGGTACTATAACTCAGTGGCTACAAATGCATCACTGTTGAAGGCTCTCCTCTAATTTGGAAATCTGGTTTGCTCTTCCTGGAGTCAAAGCAATTGAACAAACTGAGGAGAGACATTCACATTACCATTACATATACAGTATAATAAAAAGCATGCTGTGAGTTTATTTTAAAATTGAGTCTATGACTGCAGTCAGATTGCTCACTAAGGATTTTAACATAGCTGAAAATTCATTCTCCAGAGAGATTCTTTTGTGTTTCCCTTGAAGATTCCACATCAGCTTCTTTGAGTATCTGAATAATATCTGTATGTATTCTATTTTATTTTAATCTTGTCTTTGTTTACCAAATACTGTTACTTATTAACCAATATGTTAACATTGTTCCTATACTCTTTGGTTATCTATTTTTTCAATTCTTTTTTTTTTTTGTATTTGAAAATATGTATTTCTCCCGGCTTCTTGGAGTTGGCAAGAGCCTGAGGTTGGAACTAAATATCTGGGTGTTTTTGGTTTTGCTTAATAGTACCACTTGGAATTAAGAACTTACTATGATTTAAAAATCATTATACTTAAGGAGCTAGAGTGGAAGCATTAGACAACATTATAGCACATATGAATCCCGTTTTTCCATGCTTTTACACTCCAGTCAGAAGCATTTTAGTTCTCAAAGCCAAAGGCTAAACAGGGTATTTTTAGTTTCTTTGCAAGTTAGAAGTGACCATTGTCAGTCTTACAGGAAGGAAGTCGGTGAGCTGCCTCAGTTACTCTTGTCAGTCATAAGGAGGGCTAGAACTACAAACAAAAAAGTTTTAAATTAAAACCCTTTTGTTTCAATAAAATGCATGTCTTTTGTTTCCTTTTAAAATAATCTCCCACACAGATTATATCTGGAATAAACTTTGTAGTATTAGATTTTGTGTGGGTATCTTGTTATTAATTTCTTTTCTTTTTACCGACTAGGATAAAGTGGGTCCCTGAAAGCTTAAGACAGAAATTTACCATTTTCCAGCAATTTTATTTAAGAGCTGCAGTTGATGTTAAGGTTCTTTTCTTCACTTTTAGCAGAGTGGAAGCGCATCACTTTACCAACAGAGGGCAGTGTGTATTTGCAAAACAGTGAGAATGCTCACCAAGTCCCAGGGTTTGTGAAACTGTCCTTTGCAAAGAGTAGAAAGGACACTAGGAAACAGTTTCTTTCTTTCAATTCTGATTCAATACCTTTGACTCCAGATGGCATTTTTTGATGAAAATTATAAAAAATATCTTCTCCCCAAATGTCCCTGTCGTCCAAGGAAGAAATGGAGAAAATTAAAGGCAAAATGCATATAGAGAGAGAGGGACGTAGGAACCCTGATCATGCTATTGCAAATTTGCCCATGGCTGCATCAATCTCACTCTGGTCCTTTTAGGTAGACTTTTGTCTTTGAAATAAGAAAAGGTTTCTGATTAGACGGGCTGTGTCAATGATGGGATTCCTTTTGTATGTTTTCTGTGCATTTTGGGTCCTTCTTGGTTCCCTGACAGAAAAGCAGCTTGGTATGGATTGCAAATTGTGACATAAAATTTGTTGTATGTTGCTTTAGGATTGGTCACTTAAAAGATACTCAATTTTTCCACCTAGGTCCTGAGACTACCTTCCTGGCCAGAAATCCTTATGAAATTATAGTTGGTTGATGTGAGGAAACTAATCATTATGGAATGCTTATTTTATGCTGGAATTACCACTTCATACAATTCATCCTGTTTAATTTTTATGACACTTTTAAGAGGTTAACATTATAAATACTGTTTTTTCGAGGAAAAAGTAGAGCAAAAGAGGTCAAACAACCTCCTTAAACCACCCAACCAGCAAGTAGCAGAGCTAGAGTTAGGGCTCTCTGATTTTAAAGGCTGGATTCATCCCAAATCTCCCAGCTTCTCAAGTCTATTGAACCTCTGCTAAGTGACTGGCTTGGAAGTTCTTTACTATTTAAGCTATTGCAAGCTGGAATCGTGGCAAGCCATGACTCAGTCTGTTGAAAACCTAGATATATAAATGTAGGGTGGTCAATGATTTTCTTCTCATCTAATTTAAAATTTCTTCTTTGCCCTTAAGAAATGTCTTCTTTTTTAAACTTCTTTTCTGCTGTATCTGGATGAAAATGCCAGATAGGCAATAAATTGAGGGTCTGCAAATGGATAGAGGCGCACAGTTCATATAGTTGGTTGAGTTGCCAGAGTTACAATTTGAATTCATGTATATCTGGCTTTAATCTTAAAGATTTTTCTATCATTCAGGGTTCCTTTAAGGAGACAGAAGCAACAAAAGGCTAGAGAAAAGAGATGAGATTTCCCGAATGACCGTTTGCAAGGAAATAATATCTAGACCAACTGAAAGAAATAAGCAACGAGGAGGCCTGCAGCAGAACCACTGAAAATCTTGAGCTGGAAAGCAAGTGAGTAAGTGAGGCACAGGTCAGGGTGTGCAAGCTTCCATGTGATCTCATTCAGACATCCTCATCAGACACCAGACCACCAGACGGGGAGGGTGCAGATTGCATTAGCCTCTCCATTATCTCAATTTCTTTCCCCCAAACACGGCAGCCTGCCTTTTGAAGAGTATTCTTATTGTCACAGAGAGCCTCTTGTCTTTTTCTTTTTTTTTTTTTCCCATAATGAATAAACACAGAGGTCCAGGCAGTCAGAGGTGGAAGCCAAACACAAGTGTTTTCAAAAAGATTTCTGAAATAAACACTGAAGTGCTGTGTTTCATAACCCCACACAAAACTGACAGTAGCCAGCTGTTGTCTGAGCTAAACACCATCCTAAAGAGCCAAGAGCCACGAGGCAAAAAGGGAGAGAGAGAAAATAACTCCTCTCCTACTGAACCATAGATGGCAGATCAGCCAAAAAGGACCCTAGAGGAAGCAAAAGTCAATGAGGCGAAAGTCATTGCAAATGACCCCTGCCGGCTCCCCTTTACCACTCCAGAAATAATCCACCCAAATGGCCTTTGATTGGTGAAGCATCTGAATGCAGTCTCTTCTTCATACAATTCTATGTACTTCCTCTGAATCTTGCAATAATTATATCTCATAACACCAAGTTTCCCCAAGTTTGGGGCTACTTCTTGTGGCTTTTCTCCTTCCATATTTTCTGTATTTCTCGTTCTTCATCCCTGTAGTTCCCCTGAAATATAGAAAGCAAAAATAAACTTAAGACCTCTTTTGTCTTCTCTTTTCTGTATTTTATGGTCAGAAAAAAATTCTCAAGCCCCAAGGACTTTCTAGACTAACCCCGTAAATTGTTCTTCTTGGAGCTGGAAATATGCTATTGTTTAAAATTTGAGTCCTGATTGGTGGGAGAGGAAACTCTGGGTAAGAATTTAATTTGGCCCAAGGTAAAGAAAAGCTAATTTTAAGGCTCTGTTTGATCTCAGTTGTAGTAAGAGTGGAGATGTGTTGTAGCAGCCATTTTTTTTTTTAACAAAACGCCAGAAGGCTTATTTAGCATGGGGTGTATGAAAGGTGCTTTTCTGAGAAGGCTAATACGAAAAAGGTTTGAAACCTGAATTCTCATGTATAATAAAGTAACCTCATTTTGATTAATTTCTGTGAAGAAGGGACATGGCTTTTCAAATGTGAAGAAGGGATATGACTTCAGAGAATAGGTCTATTCCCTAATGACTGGATGTTCATGAAAAGTATAACTCTTAAGCCATAGTTCTATGGTAGCTCTGGCCAAGGAATGTTTACAGTGTTATCTGATACTTATTTCATGTTGTTTTCTAGTCTATGGTCTGGTCTATCACTCTGTGATGTCTTTAAATTTTGTTTCTTGCTTTTTTTTTTTTTGAGATGGAGTCTCGCTCTGTCACCCAGGCTAGAGTGCAGTGGGCCAATCTTGGCTCACTGTGACCTCAGCCTCCCAGGTTTGAGTGATTTTCTTGCCTCAGCCTCCCGAGTAGCTGGGATTACAGGTGCCTGGCACCATGCCTGGCTAATTTTTGTATTTTTGGTATAGACGGGGGTTTGCCATCTTGGCCAGGCTCATCTTGAACTACTGACCTTTTGATCCACCTGCTTCAGCCTCCCAAAGTGCTGAGTTTACAGGTGTGAGCCACGGCACCTGGGCTAAATTTTCAGTGTAAGTGCATTATATGTACTGGGCTTGTAAGAAAGAAGTAGTGCTTTGGTAGATAAAGAGGAGAAATAATAGCCAAGTTTACGTAGCCGAGGGCCAAAAGGAGGAAAACAAACATAGGATCAGGAATAAAGGGAATATACCAAGAAATCATTAAGTACAGAAATTCATAAAGCAAAATGATGGAAACAATGAGCTCCACCCTCACTTTAAATCCACACGTTCTCCAAGAGTGTAGACTATATCACAGTACACAGAATGGGATCAATCCACTTTATGTAGTTATCAAGAGTAAACAGGATCTCTAAGAGCTGAGGATGTCTAATTATATTTCCTTTGCCCTTTTATTTGGAATTCTATTAGGTTTCATATGGTTAATTTTTTTTCTTGTTTGTTTTTAGGTTGAGTCACTTATAGACTGAGTTGTGTCTTTGTTTTGCTGAAGGTTGATCTAAATCACCTAAGGTGAATTTCAGTTTGACCGTAATTCAATTTTCAGGCAGATACCTTAGTCCTCAATTTGCATTTTTAAGAAGAAATACTGAGTACGTTTTTTTGGCGAGAAATCTGCACTTAAATTTACTTTTAAATACTTTCTAAATAAAAAAGGTAAATTGTCCATAATCACATAGTGACATTTTATAAAATTCCATTCTCTCTCACTCTTCTATTTTCTAGGATATGCCCGATGCTCATAATACTGAGTACTATATATGTCCTTAGCTATTACTGTGAAAGACAACAGAAATAAAAGCTTGCCATTTCTCAACACCAGTTAGTGTGAAAACACACACAGTACAATATGGAAAAAATAAACTGATTTGTTGTCCTCTCCAGGTGCCCTTGCTATGGTGCAACTTTTTTTTTGGAAAAAACCCGCAATTTTTATGTGCTAATTGTTTGCTTAGTTTGTTGTATGGGTTTAAACTACATCCTCCTCTCCACATCCCAACACGTATTTCTTTTCCTTTTCCAGTTATGACCATAGAGTCTGTCATGAGATCTCCTAGGATTGTTTCCATCTGAATATAGATAATAAACTGGCAAAAAAATGTTCTTTTGATTTCTTAGTATTAGTTTTGTATTGGAATTTTGTTTATTCTGTATTTGAATTTTTACCTGCTTCAGTTTCATTTGTTTGATCTTCTTGAGGGATTTTCCTTTTGGATTTGAATCTACTTGTCTTCTTTCTGCCATTTGCCTGATTCTAGCTTTAAATGTTTCATTTTACAGTTCTGCTTTGGCAGAGTAATCAGACGGTGGTGACTGGTGAATGCTCATCCCTACTTGGTATAGCTATCTGGGTATCCTGCTCCTGGCATGTCCACTTCAACAGTTTCAATCTTTCCTTTCTTGTGCTTTTTTTTTTTTTCAGTGAACATGCCAGAATGAAGACTCCTCTTTGGTCGACAGAATTCTATCTCTTTGTTTACTGCCCACTGGCATTTCTCATGGGTGCATTGCTCATCTCACTGGCTGTGGCAGCCCTGACTATCTGGCACTCAACTGTGTTGTTACTGGGCAATTCTGACTCCTGCACCTGCCACTGGTCTCTTGTCCAGAACATTGGGGTTGCCCCTGCAGTCCTGGCAGTGAACTCCCATCTCATTGTGGGCAGAGTTGCCTAGCATAGAAGGGTCAAGTTTGACTTTCATTTCTCTCTTCACAGTACATTTTGGTGACTCTTGTTTTGGAGCAAGATGAGAGGCAGAATTCCCTTGAATGAAATTGCATATCTTATTGCCTTGAGTGACTATATATCTGGTTGGATAATGCTAGGGTTTTGTATTGGCAGCAGGGATAAATGAAGCAGGTTCAAAGATGAATCTTTTTAAACCTCCACTCTTTGCAGGGCAAGTCTGACTCATAGGTAGAATAACTCATTTGTGAACTATCCTTACCTTTCAAATACTTTTATTTAGAGTAAACATTGTTAGACATCACTCTGATAGTCTGGCACTATGAGAATGATTATGATTTGAATTGTGGATTCCTACTTAAAAAAACAATTCTGCCCTTTTCTTGAATGCAGCCATGAGACTTCTCAAATACAGAAAGTGAGCTTTTTACATTATCCAAGTTCTCTGGAGGCTGGCAGGGCAGAGCATGGTTCTATCCATTTTACACAGACAAATGTGGTCCATTCCAAAATGTAGATTTGATCTCTGGAAGGAAGGACGTTGGTGATAGGAGTCTTTGTGTTGGCTTGTGGACAGATGAGAATATAAATGCACTATTTACATTTGAAGTCCACGGCTCATTTATTGCCCCCACCTCCTTGAGTCCTAAGAAGATGTCTTGAAAACTGAATTATACCCTCTGGCAAGTCTCAGCACAGAGATGCCATCACACTCGTATTCAGGAATATTCTTTCTCTATGATGGTATTGGCAATTAAGGGAAGAATTTGATCTTCACAATGAAAATTATGCCCTTTTCTGTAAGATTGTTCCTCTAAAAAGGGTAAACCATGTATGTTACTATTCAAAACAGTACATTTCTTAGAGCAAAAAGAAGCTAAAATACTTGGATAATATAATTGTTACAATATATATATATTTTTTGAGACAGAGGTTTGCTCTTGTTGCCCAGGCTTCTTGGCTCACAGCAATCTTTGCCTGCAAGGTTCAAGCGATTCTCCTGCCTCAGCCTCCTGAGTAGTTGAGATTACAGACATGTGCCACCATGCGCAGCTAATTTTGTATTTTTAGTAGAGACAGGGTTTCTTCATGTTGGTCAGGCTGGTCTCAAACTCCTGACCTCAGGTGATCTGCCTGCCTCTGCCTCCCAAAGTGCTGGGGTTATAGGCATGAGCTGCTGCATCTGGCAAAATATTCTTATATATTCAATATGTGAGAATATATATGCAATATTCAATACCCCAAGAAGGATCGGGCTTTCTACATTGGTGGATTGATTATAAAATATTTCTATTTAAATTTGTTTTCAAAAACAAAATTCATTTTAAAAACTAGAAATAACATATATCCAAATGACTTGACTTTTCTAGCCAAGGCTTCATTCTGCAACAATGTCTTTAAAAATGTTACTCATTCTTCCTGGAATTTTCTCACTAACCCCATTACCATGTCCCTCTCTCATCAAGCTATCTTAAATACAATTTCAATGGTTGACAAACAAATTTTATGCATTTTATTACCCCCTGGCATAACCTGGTGCTTGGAAAATAAATCAACACTAAAATATACTGAATAAACAAACCTTACAAGCCACAAATCAGGTTAAAATCTTCAGTGTGATTTTAAAGGATTTATACTATGATTCCTAGAGCCTCCACTGGTAGGAATCTTCCATTTACTCTGTAGTTAGGCTGGTATTCCAATCTGCCCAGGCATTCCCCTCTTACCCTGGTACTTGGGCCATTTATATTAGATTTTTACCTTCTAAACCAATTATTGTTAATGGCTGTGTTACAATAAGCTATGACGGAATTCAAAATTGTTACATATATGAAGAACCAGGAAAATATGACCACAGCAAAAGGGTTAAGTTATAGATTAGCATCCTTCTCCAGAGGAGATAGGCCAAGCTGTGCAGCATACGGAGGTACCAGTAAACATACTGGTGACTATAATGTGAAATTGAAGATGAGGTATCTGAGAAACACTTTGCAATTTCTTTTTTAAATGGAAATAATACAGTTTCATAGTTTAGAAAATCAAACACTTCTACAAGGCACATTAGGAAAGCTGGTAGTTCTCTGTCTGGGTGTGGTGGTTCACGCCTGTAATCCCAGCACTTTGGCAGGTAGAAGTGCAGATTGCTTGAAGTCAGGAGTTTGAGACCAGCCTGGACAACATGGCAAAACCCTCATCTCTACTAAAAATAAAAAAATTAGCTGGGCGTGCTGGTGTGCACCTGTGGTCTCAGCTGTTTGGATGGCTGACGTGGGAGGACAGCTTGAGCCCAGGAGTTGGAGGTTACAGTGAGTGGAGATTGTGCCACTGCACTCCAGCCTGGGTGACAGAGTGAGACTGTCTTTAAAAAAAAAAAAAGAATTAAGTAAACCTGGTAATCCCTGACATTCCCTCTGTAAATCTAAACCCCTTTCCCAAGAAATAATCAATATCTTCTTTATTTAAAAGTTTAATCTCTTTTGTCTTTCATTTTTTTCTATATTGATGTTTCTGGAATTTTAAAGTATAAGCATATCCTTAGCTAAACCATTTTATAAGGAAGTTGTTGTAAAACATAGTGAATAATAATCTTGGCTCTTCAGTTGATAGTTTTATATATACCTATTATTAATTCTTCAAAAATTATGTAAGAATGTAAAATTCCATGAAATATGGTCAAATACTTTAAATAATATAACAGTTCCATCTGTTTCCCCCTTGGAACTCAGTTAATTCCTACGAAGGCTTGTGAGTCCCTGTGCCTACTGAATAAATACTGCACTGGGGCTTCCCTTTTCCAACATGATAGAAATTTTACTCATCTCTCTTGAGGTTATTTCTCTCCCTTCTGAAAGTCCAAGTATTCTTTCCTGGTTTATCCTTTCATTCTTTAGTAATTTTCTGAGAGATCATTTTAAAAACATAATTATCTGAAAGTATCTTTAGTCAACTCTCATTTTTGATTGATACTTGATTGGAAATCTAATTTAGATACAATTTTCTGACCTTTGAAGGCATTGACTTGTAGCTTCTGTTATTAGAGTGCTAGACAGTAGACTGTCTACAAGTCTTACATCACAATGATTATTTATCTCTTATGTATGACTTGCTTCATAATTTTAGAAACTTTTTGGAAAATTAATTTCCCAATGTACTGAAATTTTAGGTGGTGTGCTTTGGTGTGGTTCTCATGTGCATTACTTTGGGAAAATCTTCTTGTATTTTATTCCTTGATAATTTTTTTACAGTTCTCTCTTTTTGGAAAACTGAATGTTGAACTTGCTGGGTTGATTCTTTAATTTCCTTAACTATTATTTCCATTTCCTCTCCCATTTGTCTCTTTGCTATTATTTTTAGAGAGATTCCTCAGTTTTATCTTCTAATGTCTTTATTAAATATTTCATTTATATTGTCATTTTTTCTTTCTGAAAGTTTTCTTATGTTTTCTAAGTTTTTAAAAAAGTATAAAATTCTTTTTTGTTGGTTAGATGCAGATAATCTCTTATCTCTCTGAATATATTATCATTTTTTTTCATCCTGTTGTCTGAATTCTTTTTACTATTTGGCTATTGTAGTCTCTGGCTTCAGTATTTGACATTTTCCTCAAATATCTGGAACTCTCTTGCTGTCCATTCATATTTAAGGGTGAACTATTATATAGCTGATAGAACACTTGTGTGTAGAAGAAGCTTGTTGAGATGTGAGTCTTACTGTAGGCTAACAGATATGTTATTGCAGGAGCCCTATATGTGAGTACCTATAGGTCTTTCTCTAAACTCTTTAATTCCTTCAGAAAAGATCCTCTAGTCACTTTGACTGGCAATTGTGGTTACTGCATACACCAATTTCAGAGAGTGGGAAGAACTGGTTAACTGTTTTTTAACCACATTTTTAACAGACCCACCCCCACCCCATTTCAGCCCTATCATTTGCCTTTCTTTCAGAGATATTGAACCACAAATTCACAGGCTTCCTAAGTATCATGAATTTGCTTGACAATGCTTAGGTTTTGCCATTTCTCTGATATTTTATGCTTGATATCATTAGTCCCATTTTGTTGAAACCTGTCATCTGTTAACATAGCTTCCCTTGACTTCCCTTGTTCTCTTTGTCCTGCTTTGATTATACTTCCTATATTTCTTTCAGTGAGTGTTTGGATGGAGGAGAGGAGAGCTATAAACACATGTGCTCTGGCTACCTTGTTCAACTGGAAGTCTAGAAAAGCTATCAGTAAGTTACAGATGTGGTCTTGAAATAGCATGCTTCCTCTTATATTTGTATGGACTCAGAAATTGAGTCTGTAATTCTTTAGCACAGCTTTTAGTGATTACCTTGCTTGCCTCCGGAATGCAACATAAGTGTGATTTTAAAAACTGGCCTTAGATAGAGGAGCTGCAAGTATTTCTCACTTGGCTCACTCCAGGTGGGAGATTTTTACTGCCTTAATAGAAATAAGAACATAACTTCTGTTCCCTTACTAGGCTAAATATTCAAATGCAATAGGAATGTTAAGGAGCAAGAGCAGAAAGCCTCTTCCTCCCACCTCCACCCCTGGATTTCAGGCTTTCCTAATTCAAACCACACTGAAGCTTGGAAAACTGTCAAAATTATCCATATAGATCTCAGCAGTTAGAGAACGGATGCTGGAGACTGGGGACCAAAGAGCAGAATTGCAGAGCATAGCTAAGAAAGGGGCTCAGAAAATGAGCCACACTTATGCAGTAAAACTTGGCTGGGTCCAGACCCACTTGGGAGACACTGCCCTGGATAATGTCCCACGCCTTTTTTATTCTCCCACAGCACATACCTTCATCAGCACATTTGATACATTCACAAATGCTTATTGATTCCTACAGTATGTAGCCACCGACTGGTTGGCAATTAAGCTTTTGATGGCAGCCTCCTTCAGTAGACTGTGAGCCCTTTGAGGCCATGGGCTATGTGTAATTCATTTCTGTATCATTAGGAAGTGATTGAACTATTTAGCATACCAACTAATATCTGTGGCATGAAGAAAAAATATATATTTTGTTCAATTCTATGCCTACTTCTAAATACTATAAGTAGGCAAAGGGGTGAGGTATGAAAAAAATTATCAGCCATGATTATACTTGTGAAGTTGAATATCTTGCTAGAAGGCAATATTTACAGATTCCTTTTTCAATGTTAGGTTTTCATTCCAGTTGCTGGATACGATAATCAACCACAATATTATTGTTAAATGTTTTAATCAGGTCAGCTTCTTGATAGTGTGATTTATCAATTCATCATGATATTAAATTCAAGCGGCTTTGAGAAGTTAATGACTTGTCATCCCCCTCTTTCACCTGGAATCACGTTGGCTTTTTGATGAGCTATACAGTATGAAATTCTGAGCCTAAGGACCTAGACCGAAGGTCTGTTAGTTCTGTTGCTTACTAACTCAATGATTTTGAGCAAAATAATTTTGCATTTTTCGAGTTCCAATCATGAGTAGAAATTGGAGGATTTGTCTTTGTGAAAAATGCCTGTTTTAGAGGAAAGTGGTGGGCAGAAAACTGCTTTTACATAATTCATAGATGTATCAACATAAATGTCATTACAGAAAAAAGTCACCCAATAAGCACCAAACACCTCACATCTCCTGAAAAAAATAGATTGAGCACAGAGAAGAGGCAGAGTTTAAATGCTTAGTATTTGTGAATGAAAATAGTGGATTTCTTCCATCCATAATCCACATTCACTGTTAACACTTTAGGGCATGATTTAGTTAAGCAGATTAATAATAGAGTTGAATACGAAAATGGAAGACTTGTAACCTATTGTTAAGGAAATTTGTTTTAAAATCTGTCAGACAGTCCTAGGCCAGACTGATACAAAGGTGTAAGCAGAAAATTTTGTTTCCTCTTTATTCCTTAAGTTTTAAGGGTAATGTGGTAACACATTATCTTTACCAAATATTATTCAAATAACATAAAGCATAAAGAATAAAATGTTAAAATTATTCTTCTTAGTTTCTGCTCCTCATTCTTCTTTTTTGGAGATAACTGCTCTAAAATATCTTTTTTAAAGTAAAAGGACTTCAGGTTGTCAAGTCAGAGCATACTAAATTCAAATTGCTGTTTTGCCACTTAGCTTTATGACCTAGCATATTTCTTAAATTTTCTAATCTCTCAATTTACTCACTTGTGAAATTAAAGTAAAAACAATGTGCAGAGTTGCTGCAAAGAATAAATTACATGGGATTCACATGTCGTTGAAATGAATAAATTAAAATATCATGTATCATGTAACTTTCAGTAAAATGGCAGAAACAATATGTTTTCATCTCCTCTTCCTTGCTCCTCTCTTTCTCTGTGTCCTAATCAGTCTTCTCTTCTTTCTTCATTCATTATAATTGTGTTAAGATTGGGTCACTGTCTCCTTGAGGAAGATGTTGGCCATTTGTATGAAAGATTATCACAGCAGAGTGGAGAGAAGGCTCCAGTCTCTCAACTCTTAGAAAGTTGAAATTGGGCAGATGTAAGTAGTAGATTCTCTAGCCCGTTACTTCTATCTGCCTTCCTCCCTCCCCACTTCTTTCCTTCCTTCCTTCCTTCTTGTTGAGAAATGAATTGTTTAAATGGGATGTAACTGGAGTTGTTACTAGGGTGTGGGGGCTGTGGACAGAGTAGAGTCTAGTTGTTCAGCCTCCTTTTTTTCTGAGGAATCTGAGGTACCTTCTAAAACCCTGATACTAATATAAAATATGACCGATCTCATCCAAATTCTCTCATTTGTAAGATGAGAAATACATTTTGGAGTGTTCATTTCAGAGTCAGTCAGTCATCAAAATGTAGGGAAATTAGCTTGATTGGAAATTATCACCTTCGACTTTCAGCGTCAGTATACCACACCTTGAAAAGTGTTTTAGTAATTGCTGGATCTGCAGGTGTTCTCGGTCTCTGGGGCTGCAGTCCAGATTTTAGGAGAGCAGAGTAGCCGGCGACCTCTCCAGTGGTTTATCAAAGACACCTCAATTTTATTCTGGCATTTAATCTGCCACAGAAGCCGTTTATTGCTTCGTCTTCCTAAGTAACGTGGATACTGTCACTTAATTAACTCACCATTTGACTGCATGTTTAAAACTGTCAGGTGGGACGTAGATTTAGTGCTGTCTTATGATTAATAAAATGCTAAAGTCTCATTTTGTGAGAGCTACATAGCTGGCACCTGAACAAAAGCTACTAAGTTTGTTGGTTGTTATTTGGCTTTATAATTACACAAACTGACAGGAAAATAGCTGCATTTGTCGGTTCTTTTTGTATATTTATTTTTAAAGCATGTCAATATGTGGGTGTTGGGGGCTTGGTGTGGTTGGTTAAACTTAAAGAAATATTTTAAATTCTAATATCAAATGAATTATGTCTTAATAGGTATACTTTATTGAAAAATGTTTTAGAATCTTAGAATTAATAATTGCATATTTACTGAGTGATTATTTATGCTGGCTGCTGACCTAGGGTTATTTAAATACATTGCTCCAACTAAACTTCACAATAATTCCAAGAAGGAGGTGGCGGTGGGTGGAACTCATAGTGAAGCGCTTGTGGAGTTCGGCTGGAAGAGCAACCAAGGTGAAGGTGAAGATGCGGAGCTGGAATCTGGACAATCATGTTCACGAAACCAAGCTGGACCAACACAAAGTTCCAAGAAACTATGTTCCTACCTTACATGCTTTTGAGGTCCCACGAGAACATGTAAGAGCTTTAAATGCTACCATCCTGGAATGGGTATTTGCAAAACCATTCCTTGCCTTGTTGGATGGTCACCAAGATGGAGTCAATTGCTTGGCAATGCATCCAAAGAACTTGGCTACTGCCCTTTCTGGGGCATGTGATGGAGAGGTTAGAATTTGGAACTTGACTCAACGGAAATGTATCTGTACAATACAAGCACATGAAGGCTTTGTATGAGGAATATGTACTTGCTTTTGTGGGACTTCTTTTTTCACTGTTGGTGATGACAAAACTGAAGCAGTGGAAAATGAGAAGAGGAAGAACCATTACATACAATATTAGGAAAGGCAGTGTGGACTGGGATTGCCCATCACTGTAAAGAAGCTGTTTTTGCTACACGTGCACAGCAAATAGACATTTGGGATAAACAAAGAACTAATCCTATATGTTCAATGACCTGGGAATTTGACAGTATGAGTAGTGTTAAATTTAACCCAATTGAGACATTTCTTTTGGAAAGTTGTGTGCCTGACAGGAATATAGTACTATATGATAGGAGGCAAGCTACTCCTTTGAAAAAGGTTATCTTAGACAGGAGAACAAATACAATCTGTTGGAACCCTATGGAAGCTTTCATTTTTACAGCGACAAATGCAGATTCTAATTTATATACTTTTAAGATGTGTGCAGTGGACACTCCTGTAATGGTCCATATGGATCATGTATCTGCATTCCTTGATGTGGATTACTCTCCCACTAGGAAAGAGTTTGTGTCTGCTAGTTTTGATAAATCTATTCAAATCTTTCCTGTGGACAAAAGTTGAAGCAGGGAGGTATATCATACAAAGCGAACACAACATGTTATCTGTGTAAAATGGACTTCTGACTGCAAGTATATTATGTTTGGGTCTGATGAAATGAACATTCGCCTATGGCAAGCTAATGCTTCTGAAAAATTGGGTGTGCTTACGTCACGAGAAAACGCAGCCAAGGATTATAACCAGAAATTGAAGGAAAAATTTCAGCATCATCCTCATATAAAACATATAGCTCGTGATTGACATCTACCAAAATCTATCTACAGCCATATTCAGGAACAGCACATCATGAAAGAAGCTTGTTGATGAAAGGAAGTGAATCATATTAAACACGGCAAGCCTGGATCTGTGCCAGTTGTGTCAGAGAAGAAGAAACACGTAGTGGCAGTTGTAAAATAATTGGTATTCCTAACAATCCTGATGTATAATTATTTTTTACCTTTGATTTGAGAACTCTATGAATAAGTGTTGGGACTTGAAAAAAAAAATAATTCCAAGAAGGAGACATTGTTCTTCCCATATTACACTTCTCAGGTAAAAAACAAAGCTCTGAGATGATTAGTTATTTGCATAAAAGCACCTACCTTAATATTAACAGAGATCAGCCTTAAATACAGGATTTTATGTCTAAATTTATGAATTCTGTTTATTCTGATGGGTGAATCGCTTTGATTAAGCCCACTGGAATTGGTGTGCTTTTGTAGCCATTATGCCTGGAGTCCTTGATCATTGTTTATTCTTTCTCTTGCTTCATGACCCCACAGTGGAATTTCTGTTGAGGATCCCCAAGACCATTTTTATATTCTTGCTAAAAGACTCAAAGGACTCTACTTATAGTGGTAATCATAGCTAAGATTTATTGTAATAAAAGGGTACAAAACAAGATAAATGAAGGATAATGACCCTAGGGCAAAGTCTGAAGGAAACTAGGTGCATGCTTCCAAGGGGCCTCTCCTGGTGGATTTACAATAGATGCACTTAATTCCTCTAGCAGTGTCTTATGAAAATGTGTGAAATGTTGTCTACCAGGGAAGCTCATTAAAGACTCAGGACCCAATATTTTTGGGGAGGTGTTCACAAAGCCACTCTGTGACTAGCATGCACCAAAATTTCAGACTCCCAGAAAGAAGGCAGGTATTCAACATAAACAACAATGCACAAACGATTTAGACACAGTAAGATGCTTTTATGATTTAAAGAAAGTTTTATATCAGTGTAGAGAACTGTTTACCAGTTAAGTTCTCAGATGCCAACTAAGGGCCGGGTTTGCAAGCAGGCCTTTTTTTTTTTTTTTTTTTTTTTTCACAAAATTCAAATGACCTCACATAATGATCCCACTCCAAAATGTTTTGTCATTTGCTATTCTTGAAATTAAATCAGGAGTAAGTTCATGCCTTGGAGTGTTAAAAAGGACATGATGCATGTTAGAAATAGCCCAAAATGTTATTCATTTGGGGATTTAATTTCTTCCTTCCTTCATTTACTGACCCTCAGAATATTTATTGAATACCTGTTGTGCTGGGAAGTGGCAGAGCAGACTGATTAACATCATAGTCTCAGAATCAAGATGCCTGGGTTTAATTCCTAATTCTACCACTTACCAGTTATATAATGTTAGACAAGTTTCTAATAACTTCTCTGTGGTCATGTTTTCACATCTGTAAAACGGGGATTACAACAGTGCCTACTTCATAGGGTTTGGGAGGATAAGACAAGTTAATATGCTGTCTGGCACATAGTGAGTGGGTAATAAAAGTTAGCTCCTATTATGTTCTTCATATTGTGCTGGCTCTGGGTATGCAGTGATGAATAGGGCAGATGTGGTTCCTGCTAGAATAGAAATTCTGGCCTTGTGGATGATTCAAGCAAATAAGCATAAAATTATTTTGGAGAGTAATAACTGCTCCAGTAGGTAAAATCTTTTGGGTTTTTTATGAGAGCACATAAGAGAAAGCCTCACCTAGCTTGGAGGAGGAGAAGTAGAATTCAGAGAAAAGGGAGAAGGAAGTTGAAAGTGGAGAGAGACTGTGCCATGCCAAGGGAACATCTTGGGCAAAAGGTATTGAAGTGAGGGTAGGAGGTAGAGAGGGGCACTGTATATTGGAATAGGTGAAGTAATACATGATATGGCTGTAGGAGAGATAAACTTGTAATGATAAACAGGGACCAGAAGATAAAGAGCTTTTCAAGTCCTTTTCACTTGGCCTGAGAATAATGAGTTCTACAGGGGCCAAACCTGGGGACAACTCCCTTTGGAAACACAAGCTGGCTTGATCCTGATGGAAGTCTCCTTTGTGTGTATAGCTCCCTCTCTGAAGATGGCACTGTCAGCTTTCCTTAGCAAAAGACAGTGATGACTCTTTTCCCTTTGTGCTTCCTCTCTGTAGATCAGGTATTGATCTGGAACATTCTGGACCAGGGCTGAGGCAATTTTAGGGGCTATTAACAAATTAAACATTTTTCAGTTTGCTGCACATGAGGATTCTGGATGTGAGAACAATAAAAGAAAAGAATAAGGACATTTGGTTGTATTCGTGCTTAGTGAAACTGGTAAAGAAACCACCTGCAAGTACTTAAGTGTCAGTGCTCACCTGTCTGCAATACAGTCCAGCCTCTTAGAGTGGGCCCAAGTAGTGATCAGCACTAAACTTGATGCGATATTGTAATTCTATGATTTGGCCTCCTGAATTTGTGATTATTGGGTTACTCCCTTTTCCCCCACATGCTTCTCTTATTGGTATTTCTTTATACTTTATGTGCTTTCCAAATCATGCTGACATATCAGGAAATGATTTATATTAAGCACACAAGCCATAATGAACATGTCATTATTTGTGGAGTAGAAGGGACTGAAAATTAGTATTTCCCTGCTGCTTTTTACTGTGGTGATACTGCCACTTTAATGATACATTTTTTATTTTGTTCTAAGTAAAAATGTCTTCTTAAGCTAATTGTATATAACATTAGGATTACACCAAAATTTCTAATTTTGCATGGGGCCATTATAGTATCACTTAGGCAAAAAGGTTCCTAATCCATCAAGATTCCACATTTTAGAGGAAAGTTTTATGTATCTCTCTCTCTCTCTCTCTCTCTTTCTCTCTCACACACACACACACACACACACACACACACACACACACACATATTTATTGAGAGCTACAGAGGCACCTCTACCATGTTGGATCTAGCATTAACCCCAAGTATTCAATTTCATGCTTATTACCATTCAGGTTCCTGGGTAAAGCTAAACCACATCTTTTATGCTATGTCCTTGAAATAAAAGATGATTGATTCTAAATGTAGTAATTGTTGGTGGATTGGGCTGCTGCTAATGTTGCAGACAGATTCTGCTTCAAAGGGTGGGAATGGTTTGAGTGATAGAAGTACTTTTATAGATAAGACAGATCAATTGACGTGTCAAGACTTCCTCTGTTAGCATGAACATGAAAGATCTTGCATAATGAAGTAACTTTCCCAGAAATGATAAATGTCTATTTTCTTGCTTATCTTTTTGTTCCAATGCATACTTCCAGAGTTTCTCATGAATTGGCAAAACATTGACAGTGTTGTATATGGCAGCTGAGGAATATTATCATAAAATTAGGTATGATGGCCACTAGTCACAGGTGACTATAAAAATTAATTAAAATTAAATGATATTAAAATTTAGTTTCTCAGTTGCACTCGTCACATTTCAAGTGGTCAATAATCACATGTGGCTAGTGGCTACTATACTGGATGACACAAAAATTGAACATTTTCATCATTGCAGTAAGTTCTGTTGGGCTATATCTGTTTAGATGAAACATGCAGTATTTCAATTCTTTGTCAGTCCTGTTCCCCAGCAACTATATGGAAATTGGATACAAGAATTATGAATAATTAGAATTAGACATTTAATTATAACTTAAAAAATACAGTAGTCTCCCTTATCCACAGTTTGACTTTCTGCAGTGTCAGTTACCTGCAGTCAACTGTGCTCTACAAATAGGAAAAGGAATATTCCAGAATTAAACAATTTATAAGTTTTAAATTGCACACTTTTCTGAGTAGTATGATAAAATCTTGCTCCATCCAGCCTAGAATGAGAATCATCCTTTTGTACAACGTCTCCACGTTGTATATGCTGACTACCCATTAGTCTCTTAGTAGTCATCTTGGTTATCAGACCTACAGATCACAAGGAGGAGGGTGAGGATGGCATGAATGAGATATTTTGGTGGGGGTGTGGGGAGAGGGAGACCACATTCACATAACTTTTATTATAGTTGGTGGTTATAATTATTCTATTTTATTATTATTGTTAATCTTACTATATCTAATTTATAAATGAAACTTTATCATAGGTCTGAATGTATAGAAAAAATACAGTATATACAAAGTTTGCTACTATTTGCAGTTTCATATATGAACTGGGGTCTTTGAATGGATCCTCTGGATAAGGGAGGACTGCTGTAGTTGGCTCTATGTTATGTTGGCCTGTATTTGTATTGTTTTCCTGAGCCCTGCAGTTGAGATGTAGGAGACCCTTGTCCTTTCTTCAGGTGTCTTGTGTGTTAGAATGTGAACTGATTTTTGTGAATCTTGCCCTAATCACCTTATTCTGAAATCCTTGGATGTGTGTGAACCAGACCCATGATGGTAATGGAAGCATTTTCAAAGGGTACAAGATTTCAGATCAGGAGGAATATGAGTTTTTTGGAATCCCATTGCATAGAGTGACTGTATTAGTATTTAACAATAGTGTGTTGTATATTTCAAAATTGCTAAGAGAGTAAATTTCAAATGCTCTCACCACAAAAGAGAAGTATTTGAGGTGATATGTTAATTGACTTGATTTAATTATTCCACATTGCATTCATAAATCATAAGATCACTTTGTACCTAATAAACTTATACAATTATAAATTATCAATTTACAATAAAAACCTCCACTAAGACTTTTGGGACATCCTGTTTTAATTTTACAATCCAAGTGGTGGATATATTGATGTACTATACAACTCTTTTGACTGTTTTGGATGTTTGAAAATTTTCACTATAAAATGTTAGGGAAAAAGTACTGTGTCATACATCTCACTTAATATATACTGTTAGTGATATGGATAAACTTTCATGAGATGTGTCTTAGTAAACAGTATGAGAAAAAATCATGGCATATCTTAGTAAGGTAGCTGTTGCAGTGGGCCCTGTAGGCCTGCTAATCTAATTTTTTATCATGGCCTTTAGAGACGGCAGACTACCTTTTTGCTAGGCTTTGACTTTAAGGAAGTGAACATGCTGTGAAATTTAGAAATGAACAAAAGGATACTATTTATTTCATGATTAGTTCTTTCACTTCACACACACACACACACACACCCACACACCCACACACTCACACACTCACTCACTCACTCGCTCTCTCCCCCTCACGGTGAATTACATGTTTTTCTGTAATGGAAGAAAAGATAAATGGCATTAGGAAAGGTTGACTAATAGTGTAGTGGTCACTTATGTGTCTGTCATGCCAACTGTTGCTTGCTTTTAATGGAGCTTTTATATAGTTTTTAGCTTAAAAAAATCTCAGTATGTGAACTTTGTGCAGGTGTTAGTTTAACACCAGTAGATCTGAAGTCTTAATATAAAGTAATGAAACTTTCACTGAGACCATGAGGGCCTAAGAAATGGAAAAACTTGTCAGAACCCCAAACACCATTTACATATTTAAGGAAACAGGTAGTATATTATTGGTTTTTAAAAAAATCCTCCCGTAAAGTCTACTTTCAAACTGCATATTTCAAAGTGAAATAGAAATAAAAAACTATCTTGTGTTTTGGTAAAAAGGTGTCCCATTAAAGCACCACTGCTCTTTCAAGAAAACTGTGGAAGCTGGTAAAGGTGGTCAGTATTTTAGGGAAATTGCTTTCTATTGTTTACAGTTATAACTCAGACTTTTAGTCTTGTTTATGGAACATTTCCACACAAGGCTCATTGATTCTCAGATTGCTAAATCACACAGCAGCTGCTCCTATTAGAAGCACAGTTATTTAACTTACTACTGATTACCTCATAAGTACATAATTTCTCAGTCATAGTCACTGGTATATTGTTTTGCTCTTGAGATCATCTTTAGCAGGGTAGAAAAGCTCTCCCCATGATGTTCCCATCCTTGGGGCAATATGTTGATGACATTTTTCTGTTGGCCATCTCTCTGTCACCTAGAACAACCACATTGCTTTTTTAGATGGAGTCTTGCTCTGTCACCAGGCTGGAGTGCAGTGGCGCAATCTTGGCTTGCTGCAACCTCTGCCTCCTGGGTTCAAGCTATCCCCTTGCGTCAGCCTCTTGAATAGCTGGGACTACAGGTGCGCACCACCATGCCTGACTAATTTTTGCCTATTTAGTAGAGACGAGATTTCACCAGGTTGACCAGTATGGTCTCGATCTCCTGACCTCATGATCTGTCTGCCTTGGCCCCCCAAAGTCAGCCCTGGCTCTATATTATCCTAATATTTAAGCTGGGATAAATAGAAGCAGAACTGTCATAGGATTTATCTGGTGGTGAAGTGGGGGTGGGATAGAAAAGTAAACAAGTAAAGTGCCTAATGATAAAAGTAAAACAAATAACAGCAATATTGCAGACACTCGTAACTAGACAGGGCAACACTTGTAAAGCTATGATTCATCTCCTCCTTGTTCTAATGTGATTACACAGTGAGAATGATTGTTTTGAATTGTTCATTGCCATATAAATTTTGGGTGTATGGTTTCATCGCTTATAAGCTTCTTTCTATGTCAGATTGTCTGACACTGAACTTATTTGCATAAATTAAAGCACATTCTCAAAATGTTTGTTCACATTTTGTCTGATATGAAATATAGATAATTCAATATCCCTGTAGATAGAAGAATCTAGATGGCACTGCACTAGCAACCCTGGGATGGCTGAGGTACTCTTTGGGGGAAGATGGAAGATTCTTATATTAGAAGGATAGTCTTTGAATAGAAAAGGTGCTTGAGATTCTCAAACTCATCAACCTTTAGAGGTAAATAAGTGTTATGAGAAATGTCAGCCTTGAAATCAGAAAAAAAAAAAATATTTTTTTGAGACAGAGTTTCGCTCTCGTTACCAAGGCTGGAGTGCAATGGCGCAATTTTGGCTCACTGCAACCTCTGCCTCCTGGGTTCAGGCAATTCTCCTGCCTCAGCCTCCTGAGCAGCTGGGACTACAGGCACGTGCCACCATGCCCAGCTAATTTTTTTTGTATTTCTAGTAGAGACGGGGTTTCGCCATGCTGACCAGGATGTTCTCGAGCTCTTGACCTCGTGATCCACCCGCCTCGGCCTCCCAAAGTGCTGGGATTACAGCAGAAAAATATTTGTTTCAATCCTAGCTGTGCCGCCTGAGAGCCTGTGGATTTGTAGAGTACATAGCACCTTGGACACAAATTGGTGGTGGTGATTGTTGTTTGTATTGTTAATTTCTTTCTATTGTGTAACATACTGTGTGACCTTGTTACTTAATATTTTTACCCTTCTGGTTTCTTAATGCAGTATAATGATACCCACCTAATTGGATCAAATTAAATAATTCTAATTTGGAAACTTGTAGGTGACAAGTGACAGGATGACTTGTACCAGATTTAACTGTGTGGTTTTGCTCACTGTTAATTCTTGTCCCTAGCCTGAACACGACAGCACTTTGTCTCCTAAACTCCTTGATATACATATATAAATATCTACTTGTTGTTCAGCCCTGACCTATAGACATGTCATACAAGAACATTCTTGATGGCATAGTATTCAAAGAATCATTCAAATAATTCTAGAAAAGTCTTATGGTTTTTTTAGAATTCCTTTGGGATTGGTGAATATTAGCTAGAATGAGAAACACAAGAAACAAAGAGCTAAAAATATTAACCCTTCAAAATCCATAGATAATAAATGTGATCCAAGGAAAAGTGTTTGTTATCAATTATTCATTGATTCTTAAAAGTAATAATAATAAACATCCTTGAGGCTGTGGAATGTGAGCTCAGGGCTAGGGCAATGGCAAAATAAAGATGTACTAGATATAGTTGATATTCACTGATTCTATGTTACTAACAAAACAACCTGTGTAACTGAACAGAAAAATGACTTTCAAAAGGGACTCAAATTA